TTTTTGTGTTTAACTGTGCAGGATGTATCAATCATATTTGTGATGATATTACTGCTCTGAGGTCTGAAAGGGGGAGGTCTGTTTCCCGTTCTTTGTTCTCTCCAAAGAGCATGCATTGTGATTGGTTTATGGTAAATTGGTTTACGGTAAATTTCCTAAAACATAAACAAGTTAATGGATATGACAGAAATAAACTTTAAAAATTAAGACAGTGGTAAAAAAAATGGATTGGGGGGGGAATCATGTCCATCATCCATGCCATTTTGTTCCTCTGGGAAGATAATAAAAAGGAACCCTCTGCATGCCTTGAAATCTTCCAAGGAAGGCTGAACTGCACCCCCGTCTAATGAGAAGAGCTGTGAACATTGTTCAAATCAGCCTCTGCTCAATAAAAGCAACAACGTTTCCTCAGGAGCAGCAGCCCTTGAGGTTGCTTCATTTAATATTTCCCACACGTTACTTTAGTTTACATAGTCGGGACAACATGAGAATCTGTAACGGTCTCATCTTCATAAAAGACACTTAGTCCAGACCTCCTTTTTGTAAAATCCACTGCCCCACAAGCAAAGGGATTTAGCTGTTGCAAATATCAGCTCATCTACCCTAATGAAATGATTCAATGTCTTTCTTTATTCTGACATAAATGCCATGTCAGCATTCAGAAGAACAAAGCATCAGGCGTATTTTAGAATATACTGAGACCCATATAAAAATATTTTACCAGTAATTTTACGGCTTGAAGAAAAGGAGAGTAAAAATACATATAATCTGCTACTAAGCAACACCTATGTGATGGCATCTTCCCCTTCATCTTTTTCTTTTCTTCAAATCTGATCATGTCCTATTGTAGGAGATTAGCAAACCGTGAATGGGGTAATGTGTCTCATGACAGTATGCAAAATATTTGCAAAAAATATGATTAGCAAACATTTTCATTCTCTTGTTGGGATCCTTTTTGCAGGCAGCAGGAGGTTGTGTATTGTATCTCAGAGCAAAGTGGAGCTGATAGCCAAGATAAAGCCAGTTAACACTGAATGGGTGAGCTTTAGAGTTAGAAATCAGGCAATGGCTGGGTTTTTGCAGCTGTTATTTCAGAATAATCTTAATGAAATTCCCCTTTTGGTTTCTATTTGATTTATGTCAAGGAACCAGCTGAATTATATCACAGGAATTTGCTCTACACCTTCACTCTTCCTGCTGCAAGCATTTATTTTGGTGTATCGCAGGTGATGCAGGTTACCCTATATTCATAACATATAAATCTCTAGGCGAGCCATAGCACAGTTTGCTGATGATGACTCTGTGGATTATGTATTCTCAGGAGACCTAAATGGTTAGAATGTATTACGTTGCTCTCCCCCTTGTCATTGCATGTTTTGCTTTGATGGAAGCATGAGCAAATGAAAGGCTTGTTATTGATTTCTGTGCCGATGTTAATAATTTCCATGTAACTCTGCTTTGGCATGGCAGTTACTGATGTACAGAATTTGACATCTTAATTATTCCTTGATGGGAAGGGGGTGCACTAAACTGATAAAACAGCCTTTTATCTCTGGATCTGTGGGTTCAAAGCTGACTTGGGTCAAAGTGAAATGAGTGAGATTGTCTGTGTCTAATCCTTATGGACATCTGTTTACATCTCAAAGCCACCATATAGTCTTGAGTGTGTCAGGAAGCAGACGTACCAAGAGAGAGTGTTCTTTTGGTATCTCTGACCCAGCTTTCTACCCTTATTTCTAGAACAAAGATATTCAGGTAGTCATCCAAACTTTTGGCTGCTTAAACAATCCAGAAGAGACCTAAAAAGCTTTTAATGTCCAGCTATCAGCTCAACCCTCAAAGTTTGGATCTGCATGCAAAATTCCCCAACCTTTGGGGGTGTTTAACAGATGTGTGGCCACATACGTACAGGTAGCACCGGTCATCAACAGAGATTGAACCCAGGACCTTCAGCACCAAGGATCTGATCCAAAGCCCACTGAAGTCAAAGGAAAGACTTGGAAAGTACAAGCTCCTACCACTAGAGCTAAAGAAACAACTCCTTTTGTAGTGAGTAAATAGCTGGCTGTTATAGTCTCTGCTTTCAGACGTTTGAACCAGTGTATCACATTCAGATCCAGGGTTTTCATTTGGGCCCCTCTCTAGATTTAGTTTTCCTCCCCTAACATTTTTAGAAAAGTGCATCTTTTTAGCTTTTTACCACTTTGGTGTGCGTTGTTGAGATGCGTCAGGTCAGATTGCGCTGCTCTATCCATGTTGTAGGCTGTTTCTCCAGCCATCATGTAAATTAATTATAAGTAACTAGTGCCAATCCTGCACCAAGAAAAGGCATTTACTGAATATAGAAATTTACAAACAAACCTTTATGAATAGAATTTATGAAAAAAGCTCTTAAGCTTTATATTTATAATTTAACATCTAGCTAGTTTGCTTCATCACAGATGAGAAGAGTGTTTGGCAGGAATCCTTCTATCCCTTGAGTAACTGAAAGGATATCCTTGTATAGGCAGGGGTAGAGAAGAATTTCCTTGGAGTGACCTAAGCTTTTTTCCTTGCTTGTTTATCATCACACATCAGGGCCATGTTTATTCCAAAAGGAAAGCTACAGTAAGTCCTTTTATGGTCTTGATGAAGCCACCTGGATTGTTCTGAAGGCAGGAGTTGAGAGTTGTGGAGGCAAACTGGGATTCATTAAAAACCTGAGTCAAGAGTGACTGAGAGTCCTAAGGAGATGGTCTGCTTGCTCTTAGTGTTGGTACAGCCTCTCGGGGTATAATCACTGATGAGCTGGGGTGTGTCTTAAGGTTTCATGTGAGCCTCTTCTTAACAGAGATGGCTGTGGAGTCCCATGAAGGAGACTCAAAACTTTCTTTTTTTTTAAAAAGTGTTGTAAGTGTCTGGCCCTTTTACTTGTGAGGATAGCCAAGAAACATGTAAACTGATGCAAACTGAAAGCTAAGTTTGAAAGGCATAGAGCTAGTTCTGTATCGTGTAGGTTTGGTTTGTATCTCAAAGAATCATCTCACCAACCCTCCCCAAAATCATTAGGTAGCCTTGTGCATGGTGGTGTGGCCGTGTTATATCTGGGTGGTTACATGCATAAGGGAAGCAGCAAAGAATTCTTTCTCAGCCCTCCAAAAAAATGCTGAGACTGGCTCTGCTTGGCATCCGTTTTTGAGCCCCTTGTGTGTGCCCACTATATTGTGACCATAACAGCTTGTTTTCCCCAACACTGCCTCTGTAGCACGAATGAAGGACACACCGCAAGATCCCTACAAGCCATCCCCCCACACCCTGCCAGCTGCTTCAGCCGTGCACAAGGAAGAGAGAGACAGGAGACAGGGTCAAGCTACTGATGCCCTGCATTCTACCCCAGGCACTAGCCATGGGAGACTCGCTGGCGCAGCTGATTCCCCAGCCCCGTCTTAGGAAACTGGCTCCCACACACCAGCTGGGGGAGATTCCTAGCAATTGGGAGAGACCTGCCCACTTCGAGATCCAAAGGGGATCCATTTCCCAACTGATCACCCAGCCCACTTCCATAGGGGATCCGCTTCCCACAGCCGTAGGCAGCAGGGCGACTTGCCTGCTCCCAGCAGAGCCTGAAGGACCATCTGTCTGCCAACACAGCTGCTGCTGTGAGGTACAGATAGGGCAGTCACACAGAGGAACCTCAGCGAGCTCCTGGGGAGGGTCAAGCCTAGTATGTTGAGCGGTGTTGGGCTGAAGAGTGGGTATATGGAAGGACGAACGGTTTGAGGAGGAGGAGGAGATGTAATTGTTGTCATTAAGCATGTGGGGACTTTTTTATTCAAGGAATGTCACATTAATTGTTGACTGAGACAGAACGTATTTGAGCCCACGCCTTTTATACTGGTAACCCATCACTTCCCACAATATTAAACTGGTAACACTAAGGGGGTTATGTTTGTAACATTGTCTTGTTAAAGTAGTTGTCGTGTATGCCATTTCCTGTATTCATTATAATCACAGGCCTGGATTTCAAAACCTGGCCTATTCAGAGAGAGGGCGTGAATGGCAAGAACAGAAGATGGCACAACCTGATTCCAGCCTCTGTCAAAGCAAAGATCTAACATAAATGAACAATGATTCAAACTCTTGCAGCCTGATCTTTCTTTAGTTTTCATCCGTTTTACCCTACTGTAATTCCTGGAGTTACTTTTAAATCAGATTGGATATTGTTTTAAAGGAGATGCTCTAGAAATTATTTTTGGGAAGTTCTATGGCTTGTGTTATACAGGAGGTCAGATTAGTTCAGTGTTTCCAAGCTTGGGACGCCGCTTGTGTAGGGAAAGCCCCTGGCGGGCCGGGCTGCCGATCGCGGCTCCCACTGGCCGCGGTTTGCTGCTCCAGGCTACAGGAGCTGCTGGAAGCGGCGCAGGCTGAGGGACATATTGGCTGCTACTTCCAGCAGCTCCCATTGGCCTGGAACAGCAAACCGCGGCCAGTGGGAGCCGCAATCGGCCGGACCTGCGGACACGGCAGGTAAACAAACTGGCCCAGCCCACCAGGGGCTTTCCCTGCACAAGTGGTGTCCCAAGTTTGGGAAACACTGGACTAGATGATCACAGTGATCTTTTCTGGCTTTGGAATCTGTTACCCTTGTGGGTGAGAGAATTGGAGCTCTGTCTGTCTGTCATCCTTTGACATAACAGTTTGTTTTTATACTGTATACCACAGTGCTTCCTGAGAACTATTCTCGAACAAGTATTAGGGGCATAGGTCCTTCATTCTCCTCTCTGTCTTAGCAGTGGTAATAGTGCTGGGGGAATCAGAAAGCAAAGAAGATAGGGAGGAGGAATCAAAAAAAGTTCTAATTTTAGCCTAAGGGTTTTTCAGCTTGCTGAGCTGCGGACGTAAAACAGCACAAACCTGGAGAACAATACTCACTGCTGTTCCATTAAAAAGAGAAAAAAAAAATCTTGCTGAGATCTGAAGTCAAATCACAACAGTCAAAAGTGAAACACAGCTCACTAATGTAGCCTTAATTCATTTTATTTTGCAGAGACAGCAAGCTCACCATGTTGCTTCGGGAGTCCCTGGGGAACATGAACTGCCGTACCACTATGATAGCTCACATTTCGGCAGCGGCAGGGAATTACGCTGAAACGCTGTCCACCATCCAGGTTGCATCCCGGGTCCTGAGGATGAAGAAAAAGAAAACTAAGGTAAGGTGATGTGTAACTCCTTGTCTCCTTGTAGTGGGAAACAAGGATCCTACAGAGCCCTTAGTGAGATGGAGAGGCCTGAAACGTATAACAAAATCAGTATTCATAATTCCTGAGGGGATGGGTTGCATGTATTTTATGGTAGCTTTGTGGTTTAGAGTTTATAGCAGAGAGTAAGGGAGAGAAAGCTTCAACCTAAGATGCAGAGGAGAGTTCAAGCACATCTATTATAATAGCTTTCTAAGCCTAACTCCAAGTCTGTCATTTAGTAGTGCAAATATAGCTGGTAATGTGCTTTTCTCAATTAAAGTTACAAGTGTAAATAAAACAATAATGAATGTTACTTTTTTTAGAATTAAAGGAAATTAAAATTAATGAAGAAAAAGGTTCCCTATTTTTCCCATAAGACAGCAAGAGCAATATAATACAAGGCAAAATCTCCATCTCTGCATAGAAGCACACATAGTCCTGTTATTTCAGCATACATTTGGTAGATTTTTCCAAGCAGTGGACTAATAGGAAGTGAGGTATATCCATTTTCATGCTTCCAGAATCCTAGCTCCTTTTATAATCTGGACTGTTAACTTGTTATAACAGGTGAGTTTTGTGATCATGATTTAAAATGATGACATGGATTATTGATAAATCTGAGCAGAGACCATCAAATGGACTCCATCTATACCAAGTCACAACAAGCTAACCACAGAAAGAGATGCACACCACACACTGTATACCCAAGTCTGTGTTGTGATCAAAATTGGATTTTCCTTGTCTTTTGTGCATTATTTGAACAGTGAGGTTGAACTCCTTTTACAGCCAAGTCTTATCGGTTAAGTCCTTAGAAAGCTATCTAGTTCCTTTGGTCAAGACTGGATTCAGTGAAGCGTCTTAATGCATTCATTCAGTGCATTCATTGGAAGGCAGCATGATCTAGTGGTTAGAGATGGATCTGTTTCAGTGTGTTCATGATAATACTGTGGGCAAGACCCTTAATCTTTGTGTGCATCAGTTTCCAAAATGGCGCTAATAAGATTTACCAAACGTTAAGTACTCTGAGATAATTAAATGAAGGGTACAATATAACTATAAGTTCTTCTTGTTGTTGGATTTAACTCCCTTCCTCTCAAAGTTAATAACAATTCTTTACCGAGCACGTTGGTGTTTTATATGTCATGCATTTATGCAACACCATTCATTGTTCAGTCATTTTAGGATTCAGCTACAGTTGGGATTCCGCTGTATGTGTGTTTTATGGAAGCTGTTTGTGGTTCTGACATTTCGTTTGCTCTCCAATCACAGTACACATCAAGTTCTTCTGGAGGTGAAAGCTCCTGTGAAGAAGGAAGAATGCGGAGGCCAACCCAGTTGAGACCCTTCCATTCTAGAAATGTAGTTGACCCAGACTTCCCTATTCTGCACTTATCAAGTGATCCTGATTATTCTTCCAGCAGCGAACAGTCCTGTGACACAGTGATTTATGTTGGCCCCAATGGCACAGCCCTCTCTGATAAGGAACTGACAGATAATGAAGGCCCCCCTGATTTTGTCCCTATAGTTCCTGCTCTGCAGAAGACCAAAACTGAGGGCAAACTGGAGGAAGTGAGTGAGACAGACTCCAGCACGTCTGAGAGAGACTGCCTGAAGTGCAACACCTTTGCTGAGCTTCAGGAGAGGTTGGACTGTATCGATGGCAGTGAGGAGAGCAACAAATTTCCATTTGAAGAGCTGCCTGTTCAGTTTAGCGCAGATCAGATGTCTAAGTGTTCTGTGCCAAGCCAAGTGGCAGGTCTCAGTCATTTATCAGCATCGGATAAGGAAGATGCCACCGCCGACTGTCAGCAACCTGAGAAGGAAGTCAGGGAAAATATAAATGCAACAACCAATAAAATTCAGAGAAATCACTCCCCTGTTCCTTCTGGAGCTCTCACTAACATTTCAACTCCTCCTTCTCCTAGGAGCGTAACTGGCAGCTCGAGTAATCAGCTTAGCTCTTCCCAGTTAGCCCATAGCACAAGCCTGCAGAGCAGCAGAGAAAGCCTCAATACCTGTGGCTTTGTAGAAGGCAAACCTAGGCCAATGGGTTCACCGCGGCTTGGCATTGCGAGCCTCTCTAAGACATCAGAATACAAGCCACCAACTTCTCCTTCCCAGAGATGCAAGGTTTACACCCAGAAAGGGGTATTGCCCAGCCCTGCACCATCACCCCTGAGCAAGGACTCTGGAATGGTATCTAGTGAATCTTTGCTGCAGCCAGAGATCCGGACCCCTCCAGTGGGAATGAGTCCTCAGATCTTGAAAAAGTCAGTATCCTCCAGCAGTGGGGATTTTGGAGAGACCATTCTCGATGAAGAGCAGGAACATAATATTTCACCAGAATCAAAGAAGGAGATTCTGAGTACCACCATGGTCACTGTGCAGCAACCATTAGAGCTGAATGGAGAGGATGAGCTGGTGTTCACCCTGGTTGAAGAACTAACTATTAGTGGGGTCCTTGAGAATGGACGCCCAACCAGCATCATCAGCTTTAACAGTGACTGTTCTGTGCAGGCTTTGGCCTCTGGGTCTAGGCCAGTTAGTATTATCAGTAGCATTAGTGAAGACCTTGAGTGTTACTCCAATGCAGCTCCTGTTTCTGAGGTCAGCATAACACAATTCGTGCCGCTTCCAAAATTAGGATTGGATGACAAAGCCCGGGATGCCAGCAGCAGACGCTCATCCATTAGTTCGTGGCTGAGTGAAATGAGCACAGGGAGTGATGGTGAACAATCATGCCACAGTTTCATAGCCCAGGCATGCTACGGGCATGGTGAGGCTATGGCAGAGCCCCCTATTTCTGAGTTTGCAGGTGCCATACAGAATACTAGCATGATTTGTGTAAATGACAAGCAAAATCCAGTGACTGACAATTTGCTCATACTGTCAGAAATGGGGGAGGAAACTTTCAGTAAAGTCCCACCCCTCAAGGGTTGCAAAATATCAGCCCTGGGGAAAACTACTGTCACAATCTCAAACACAGCAAGCCTAAGCAGTTGTGAAGGCTACATCCCAATGAAGACCAACATTACTGTTTATCCATGTATTGCTGTTAGTCCTTTTAAGGCACAAGAGACTGATGAAGCCACATCTGCAGTAACTCCAGCTGCTAAAGTTGCTCAACCCCATGAGGAGAAAGAGTCTAATGTTAGGAAGGAAATCAAATTTGAAGACCCTTGGCTAAAGAGGGAAGATGATGTGAAAAAAGACAGTTCTGGGGCCAGCGATGGGCCAAGGCTGGAAACTGCAGTTGGTCCAGCCAACCCTGAACAGAACAAGAAACAGAACTCAGCTGACAGGTTTAGTAGCAGCAGTGGGGAGACCTCTAGCTCCCCAGGCTCTGACCCTCTGAAGAGGATTGTGGATGGGTGTGAGATGGCACTTCCAAGTTCTGCAACCCAGAGCCCTGTTCATTCCCTGGATGCTTTGAAGAATGGCAGTCTCCCTAGGGTGCTCCAGAAGGTCAGCAAGCAGGAGGAAATTGATGCTGTCCTCTATCACTGTGCTGCTGAGAACAATGGAATGGGTTCTCCTTCTCTTTCCCAGTCTTGTAAGGCTACCCTAGAAAGAAGAATCGCTTCTCCCAAGCACTGCGTTCTCACTCGCCCCAAAGGAACTCCTCCGCTGCCTCCTGTGAGAAAATCAAGCCTGGATCAGAAGAACAGGGCCAGCCCTCAACACAGCGCTTGTAGCAGCAGCACTAGCAGTCCATCCAACCAATCAGTGTCTTTTCCGGCCAGCTTTCCTGATGAGCTGAACGGGAAGCAAAAGGGCTCCAGCATTGACACCAGTAACAATAGCAGCAGCAAGTTATTTAGTGCCAAACTTGAACAGCTAGCCAGCAGGACCAATTCCCTGGGCAGGTCCACTGTGAGCCACTATGAGTGTTTGTCATTGGAAAGAGCAGAAAGCCTATCTTCAGTAAGCTCCAAAATGAGCCCTGGAAAAGATACCACCATGCCTAGGGCTGGGAGGAGCCTCAGCCGCAGTGCGGTGTCCTCACCAACAAACTCAGGCATATCCCAGTCTGCAGGTGCCTCCCCAAAGGCCAGCCAATCTAAGATATCCGCAGTTAGCAAACTCCTTTTGGCAAGTCCCAAGGCCCGAAGTTTGTCTGCTTCCACCACCAAAACATTAAGCTTTTCTACCAAGTCTCTGCCTCAGTCTGTGGGGCAGAGTTCAAGTTTGCCTCCCAATGGGAAGAACATGTCCTGGTCAACTCAGTCCCTTAGCAGAAACAGAGGCTCTGGTCTTGCTTCAAAACTGCCCCTCAGAGCTGTCAATGGACGGATTTCTGAACTGCTCCAAGGGAGCACGAGTGCCAGAGGTTTACAAATGCGTGGAAACTCGGACACAGATGAGCGAGGTGGCCTTCATGGAGATGAGAAACCAGCTGTTCATATGCTGCCTTCACCCTACAGCAAAATCACCCCTCCGCGGAAGCCTCACCGCTGTAGCAGTGGTCATGGAAGTGACAACAGCAGCGTCCTGAGCGGGGAGCTGCCGCCAGCCATGGGGAAAACAGCCCTATTCTACCACAGTGGGGGAAGCAGTGGTTATGAGAGTATGATGAGAGACAGCGAAGCAACAGGGAGTGCTTCTTCAGCGCAAGACTCTATGAGTGAGAACAGCAGCTCTGTCAGCGGGAGGTGCCGAAGTCTCAAAAATCAAAAGAAACGCTCAAACACAGGTATGTTTGCAGATGTGTCCAAATGTAACATTGACCACCAGGCTAGCTAGTTCTTGGGCGCAAGGCTTGCACAGAAGGGTATCTAGGTCAATGGCAGAACACATGTTGTGTTTAATGTGGTCGTTTGGAACTAGAAACAGGGTCATTCTAATGACAAGCCCTTGAGCTGTGAACTTTTTAGATTTATTTACTTACTAAGCCCTGCTCAGTTCCACATTTCCTTTATGAAGGCATTTCCATTGCAACAGTTTTAGTATAGATTATTTGTTTCAAGTTTCTGTTACTGCATCCTTCTCCTGAAAGCAGGGCAACTTTTATAATGGGGACTATTTTCAAATATTTAGTGATGGGTTTTTTTTAGCACTTAAAGTCACAAAAAGATGCCCATGCATGGTTCTTACATGTAATATATATTACAATGTAGCCCCATCAGAATGGAAACAATCATGCAGACAAGAACTTGGGCAGAAAAAGCTCCTTTCCAACACTTCATCAATCCGGGAAACAAACCCTCCACCCTCTCTATAAACCCTATCCAATACCTGTCAAATAGATAAACACCAGTCAAAAATTGAAGGCTTTTATTATGGTGAATAGCAGGGAGAGGACAGCTGATGTATGTCGTGAGGGCAAGAACTGAGGTTGGTTGTAACTATGGGGTTTCAGAGGTTGGTGGGTGTTGCCCCGGTGTCACTGAGAGGAGGACCAAGAGCTGTATAAGTTGCAGGACAAATGCTAGAGTCCAGCAAAGGGGAGAAAGAGACAATAGGACTTGCAAAGAGGAAAGGGCGCAATAAATTATATATTGCTGGGAGGTTGTCCGGGTAATATGGGATATTTTGCTGGGGACATTTTGTTTTTTGGTTTCCATTTTTGAGGTTTGGCCTTAGTAGCGAGAGGGCTGAAGGTACCAGCAACCTCTCACTTTGACAGTTGTAAAGAGTCTGCGTGGATGGTACTGGGAGCTAGGTGGCAGATGGGTGACTCTCTGTGGAGGAGGTCTTTCCTTAGTTTTTTCATTTCACTTCCCCTTTCATCAATATGATCTCAGTGGCTGGGTGAATAGGGATTGCAACTTCCCAGTAGCTGTCCTGGGAGATGTGGGTGAGGAGAGCCTTCTGTTTGGATGATGACTGTGGAAGAGTGTCAGGGCACTACTACCCCCTTTTTATTTGGTAGCAGTTTTGTTTCTTGATAGCCAGGGATGGAGGGTGAGAGCTATGATGTCCTTGGAGCACACTTTCACATTTAGTCTTTGCTTGGCTCCTCAACTGCAGCAGCTTTGCCTCTTAGATGATTGCTATAAGGTGGTTGAAAATGATGCCATTGACTGTGAACATGGAGATCTGAGGGAAGGATCATTTGTGGAGCTCAGGAATGTCTAGTCGCTCTGCTACCAGGTATAGAAGACAAAGTGGGAGGAAGGCTTTTTTTGCTGACAGAAGCAGGTGTGCAGCCCTTGTTATCAATTCTATAGATTTTATCTGGGACTTCTTCTGGGACGCATAAAGTATTATTTTACAGGGTCCAACTGCTTAGGTCGTATGGAAGATTAGTGGCTAATAAAATCATAAGCAGGGCTTGTAGGGAACTTTCCTGAGCAAGGCTATCAACTTCTGCAGAAGTTTTGTGGTCTTCCTGTGTCTGCAGACGGAGCGCGCGCAGGTGCCTCTGCTGCTGCTCAGGGTTATCCAGTGCTGAAGCAGAGTGAAAACTGACCCGATTCTTACCTCTTTTTCACCAAACATAGAGTTTGTCGGGGCTTTTGGCTGCCATCCAAATGACTGATCTTGATTTTTAATTTCCTGTGTGGTGTAGGTCCTTTCTGCCCAAGCTCCATTGTCATAGATTTGCTCAGATGAGTCACTATCACTAATGGCCCCAAGATTTGAATATTTGGGGCACATAGTTTTCAGTGGAGCGCCCTCATCTCTGGAAAAAAGAAGAACAGGAGTACTTGTGGAAGCTGTCTACCCTGTTAATCCAACAGAGCCTGAGCATGTTGACACCTCTCAGAGCACTTTGTAAAGCTCATTTGCTTACTCAAGCTTTTGACTGGTGGCTGTGTGGAGAGGGTATATGTGCTATTTTTAACAGCTTAATTTTGAGGTTGATTCTTTATATAGTTGGTTCACCAATTCTCATATTGTTTTGAGTGAGTTGAACATAGGTCCAGTAATTTTTACACATTTTAAAAATAAAATTAAAAAAATAATTCAATGTCTACACATTTCTCATCATTAAACATTTACTTGGCCACTGACAAAGCTGTAGCTTTCTTACAACCCATGTCCTCTTTGTATTTGGCCCTGCAGTAGTGAAGCCATAATTCTGTGTTTGGTGGTAGCACACTCTTTCACATGTCAACTGATTTATGATGCCATAAAATAGGATTATGACTTCAGTGCAGTATCAAGATGAAGGAAAAACTGGGATGTAAAGGCGAACAATGTTATGATGAACATACATATATTTTTATAATAGGACAAGAACCAGACTGGTTTGGCACATTTCTTTTTACATAAATATCCTCTTCCTGTAGGTTTGTAGTAGTCTGAAACATCTCTGTTAAGGAATATTTTTATGAAAAAAAACATACAAAGCTGTGCAGTTCTTGAAGCGTGGATATTATTTTAACGCATGGTGTCATGAGCATTGGACCCTGTTTGATTTGCTGTCAAAGATCCACTGTGCTATAATGGATACGGCAGTATAGATATGCTCATTTCAGGTCAGGTGACCTTGTCCACTTTATTTATGATTATTATTAACAGAAAGGCTAGTTGTCAGACATAATCAACATGAATCTACAGAAAGCCCCTTTAAGAGAAGTCGTAAAGAGCCTTTAAGGGAATCACCAGTAGTCTTGTCAGATTTCACAATTACTTTTGAAGTTCTGACACACCGAAGAGACAGAATTTTTTTTCTGTGATTAAGATCTTGTTATTTTAATGTTCTTAAGTGCATTACTTGTACTTGTAGATACTTATGCATTGGTTGTTATAGCCTAGGTATCAGAGATACAGTGGCAGCTTTTGGAAGATAAAGCCAATTCATAATCTATAGGTTTAGCCTTGGTTTAAATTTCAGGATCTAAGTAAGTGTGTGTTTCATAGGCAGCCTAACGTTGTATATGCAGTATAAACAAGCACACAAACCATCTTCCATTATATTCTCCCACCCACTCTTCAAACTGAAATATTACAAGATTACATCATCAAGCCAATGAGCTTTCTTCCCTGAAGTTAATAGATCGGTTTAATAAGTTGCACAATTTTTCCAGCATTTAACACTGGTAGTATAATATTAGTAGGTCAGAACACCTCTATCCCAATATAACGCGACCCAATATAACATGAATTCGGATATAACCCGTTAAAACAGCGCTCCAGGGAGGCGGGGCTGTGCACTCTGGCAGATCAAAGCAAGTTCGATATAATGCGGTTTCACCTATAATGCAGTAAGATTATTTGGCTCCCGAGGACAGCATTACATTGGGGTAGAGGTGTATATTATTGCTCTGAAATGATTGCTTACGGTAGAGGGGATTTTAATTATAATTACAGTTAGCACTAATATGGGGCTGTACATTTTCAAAGCACTGTACAAATGTTATTTAATCCTCCTGTGATGTAAGTATTATTATAATCCCCATTTTGCAGATGGGGAAAATCAGGCTGAGAGGTTAACTAACTGGCCCAAGGCCACAGAATCACCCTCTCCCTAATGCTGACTAGATAGACCCAGGATTAGCTCTCAGCCAGGTTGGCTCCAGGCCTTGAGCTCACTTGACTTGACCACACATCCCCTAATCAATGCCACTGTCCTTTTAGAACAGCAGAGCAGAAGGTTTGATTTGTAATTGTCTATTTGTCCCGCCTCTGCACCTCCTAGCATGTGTGCAGCTGCTTATTCTCTGGTTTCTTCCCTCCACCATTAACTGCTCCTCACTAAGAGTGAATAGGCGCCTCAGTCACTTACCTCCAACTGGGAGGATGTGATTATGCAGCAGTGAAGGCTGGTGACACCTGAAAGCAAGGAGGCAAAACTGACACACACACACACACACACACACACACACACACACACACACACACACACACACACACACACACACACACACATCG